TGCAGACAATCACATAATAGAAGAATGATACCACTATAAATTTGGTTTCCCTCTGTGCTATGCAGTATCCCTCTTTAACTCCTTGATTACCCAGTGTTACTACAATCTTTGTCATTCTCAAGTCCTCTCTTCTACTTATCCAAAGTGACATTGCTACCAAAGGGGCAAGGAGGTGGCATCTTCTGCCCTCCTCTAACCTCACAAGAGGAAGAAGACAGAATCACCATCAGTAGCCCAAGGCCTATTCCTGCAAGGCCAGACACACTGCCTCCCTCCAGCCCTTCCACCAACCCTGAAACCAACCGTTCCTCCCGCAGCACCCACCACCTCTCTGCTGAGCTCAATTCACTGCAGTGGCCACACAGAACTCACAGATTATGGGGTTCATTAGGGAAGCAACAGGCTACAATTAAAGTTCAGGAACACACTCAGTCTCTCTCAGCCAACAGTCTCTGTCTCTTGGTCAGCAATGCGTGTCTCTTGGTGTCTCTCAGCAGTGCGTGTCTCTCACATCTCTCAGCCAGTGAGAGATTCCTTCTGCCTCTAGGAGGGCTCTTTCTGAGCCTGGTAGAGTGGCCCAAACCAACCAATCCCAACATCAGAGTTCTATACACCTGAGAGAGTGAACTTCCCAGAAAATTACTTCCTGCTGCTCATTAACAGAAATACCCCAGGTGGATAACTTTATCAGGAGCTACTCAGTTGCTCACAGCAAATTCCACCATGGAGTTTACAAAGACTTATGGCTAGAAAAGCTACACAATGTAATTCACTACACTGCAATTGCCTATTACTTCCCAGCAAATATAAGGGATTAATTAATCTTTTGATACTTGCATGTATTTATATTTGGACTCTTACACACCTATTTTATCTAGGCTAAGAGGAAAATGTACTTCTCTGGTCTTCTAACTCCATCCCCTTTCCTAAAGCTATCAGTTAATTTAAAATGTTTCTTTATGTTCTAATTGCATTCTTATAACTCAGTAATATGCCCTAATGTCTCATTAAAAAAAAAACTAAGAAAAAGAACTCTCCTCCAATTCTTCATTTTTTTTTTCCCTTTCACAATTAGTTATCAGAAGTCATACTCACCCACCATCAGGCTTCTGCCTCCAATTTCTCTGAAACAGACCTGACTTCCTCATGGACAATTACAATGGACTGTAAATTTTTAGTTAAGTTAGTTGATCTCTCCAGCTGCCTTGGACACTCTTGACCTCTCTGGAATTTTATTGTATGACTAGAAGGCTAACCTTAACTCCACATTGTGGTAGTTAAGTCTGCGTGTCAACTTGGCTGGGCCTGGTTGAGTGGCTGGGCAGCTGGATGTAGTATTCCCCATGATGAGACTGGTAATCAACTCCATGGTGGAATCTACTGTGAGCAGCTGAGTAGCTGTCTTAGGGATGTGGTGTGCTTCCTGCACATAAGGAGAAGCCTTGAGGAATGGTCTGTACCTTTATGGCATGCTTGAACCCTGCACGTAGCTGTGTTGTTGTTTAGCAGCCTGCTGTGTTCTACCGATCCTGGGACTTTCAGTGGACTTGAATCAATGGCCTGCCATGCTGTTTGGTAACATTGGGACTGTGGCATTTTATTTGTTGACCTTGGGCTTGTTAGCCTCAGCAGCCAGTAGCTGCCTGAGTGAAGAGATGCCTCTAACTTCAGTGGGCCAGGAACAAGAGGCAGAGCTAAAGCCTAAGGTCAAGGGGCCCACACAGCCCCTAAAGCCTGGCACTTGGAACTCAGACTTCTAGCCTCCCAAACTCTAAGAGAATAAACTCATGTTTGTTCAAGCATCCCATATGTGGTATATTCCTGTCAGAGTGGCACTAGGTAACCAGAACACATACTCTTGGCACCTTACTGTTACCATGAACAATGGCCTATACAATAAGATTTATTAATTATTGACATCTTTTGGTAAACAGAAAAAAATGCTTTTCAAAAAATTCTAGTCTGTTGTATGCAGAATGAAGAGAGCACAGGCTTCTGGCTATCTATATAAAAACGAAAAAACTCACTGCCATAGAGCCAATTCTGATGCATAGCCAACCTCCATTGGGTTTCTAAGGAGGTAAATTTTCATGAAGTAGACTACCCCATCTTCCTTCCATGGGGGGCTGGGGGGGTTGAACCACCAATCTTCTGGTTGTCAGTCAAATGCCCTAGGCACTGCGCCTCCAGAGCTCCTGGCTATCTGTATGTTGTTGTTGTTATGTGTCATCGAGTCGGCCCCGACTCACAGCGACCCCTCCTTGGGTTTCTGAGGCAGTATCCTACAGAAGTAGGATTGCCCAACCTTCCTTCTGAGGAGTGGCTGGTGGGTTTGAACCGCCAGCCTTCTGGTTAGCAGTCAAGTGCCTTAGGCAC